TGGCATGGGGAGGGGCCAGTGTAAAGTGGCAGGAGTTGCCCCCTCCCAGCCACACCTATCCTGAAGCCCCCTGGGCCTCTTGTATGTTTTTGGTGGGGAAAGGTGGAGGTGCTGGTACGTTGGTAGTGGTACGCACCCCACCCACGCGCACCCACATTGCATCATAGCCCCCCAAGCAGCCCAAGGAGCCCGGGCACCCATCAGCACTGAGCTGCCCCAGGTCTCTGCCAGGACGCAGCGAGGACCCTCGGCTGTGGCGGTCACACCTGCCCTTGCGGGGTGGTCCAAGCACAATCAGGTCTCGGGTCTTGTTGTGTACACGGGCCCCAACCCCGCCGTCTGCAGGCTGAGGCTCAGCATGGCCCGGCCTCCCTCTCGCAGGAGAGGAGGATGCTGGCGGGGCAGGAGGGACCCCAGCGCCCAGAGGCCAGGCCTGCTCCTGGGCCGTACGTGCAGCCAGGGCAGGCCCCGCGCCAGCGCGGCAGAGGGAAGCAGGACACAGAAACATCTGCCCCTGCTGCACCGAGGTCTCCAGCCGGCCCCACGGCCCACAGAGGCACTTTGTTCAGGCGCCTGCACGCACCCCTTCCCTCCCCAGCGCCACGCCTAGCACTTGGCTGCCTTCCTCCAGCCCCAGAAGCCAAGGCTGGTAGGCAGCCAGGAGCGGAGGAGCCGGCGCTAGGTGGCACTGGCTGCCTGCGCACAGCCCGGACCCCCTGACACGGGGAAGGGCCCAGCCGCCAGGCCCCTCTCCCCAGGACGGGCAGGGAGCACTGGCTGCAGGGAGCGTGGGTGTCGGGGCAGCTAGCATCCTGCACCACGCATGGCGACTTCGAAGCCTGGGCAGGCCTCAGGCCACCGGGCCGTAGCAAGCAGCCTCCGCGTAGCAGGCGAGGGCACACACAGCTCCCCCAGCGTGCTAGCCCCGCGGCGAGCCAGTCAGGGCAGGTGCCCGGCAAGAAGCCCCAGCACCCGGGCGCCGGAGGGCTCCGAAGGGCTGAGGACTGGGTGCCACGCTGGTCAGGACGTGGGAACGACGAAGGGAAAGTCACCGGGCATTTGTTACCACCCGTCTCTCGCCAGCCGCCACGCAGGTGTTGCAGCACGAGAGGAGCCGGCCCTCAGCCTACAACGAGCGCCAGGCCGTTCTTTCTCAGCCGGCGGGGAATTCAGGTGGGGGATCGTGGCCCCAGGCGTGGCAGGAGCCGAGGGCTCAGTCACATTGCCCCAGGGCTTGGGCACGTTCCCGGAGAAAGGGGCACGGGGAGCTACGGAGCAGGGAGCGGGGGCACGGCCCCTGCATCGGACCTGCCTGGACCCTCGGTGCAGGGAGCTGCGAGTGGGAGAGGAGCTGGGAAACCCAGGTCAGGCCCGGTCGCTCCCCTCCAGCCTCCGCTTTCTGCCGCCCTGCGATGCAGGAGCCCGGGCAAGACGGACCTGGGCTCTGGAGGGCTGTCCTTCCCCTGCGGAGGTTGCAGCCCATCTTGCAGGGGATGGGGCAGCAGGACAGCCCCAGGTAGATGGGGGCTCACACCTCGGCGGTGCCCCCAGGGAGGCGGCACACTGGACCACCTGGCTCGGGCAGGACCATGCAGGTTACACTCAAAGGTGGCGAGCACGGTACGTGCCCGGCTGGTCGTGCCAGTCCAATGGACCGCACATCTAAAAAACCACTGACAGCT